TTCCCCTATAGCAAAGGAATCCTAAAGTTTCCGATGCGAGCGCAGCCGAGGGAGGGTACGTGTGGGCTGTGAGCTTGTGCTTTGCCTTCGACTCGGGGATATATTTAGATTTCTTTAGATTTCTGGCCCCCCAAGTGAGACCTGCTTTTGCAGGCTCCCCATGCCTTTTCCCGCCCTTTGGAAAAAAAACAAAACCAACAAACCAAACCAACACAAGGGCTGCTGGAAGAATAACCCCGTGCCGGGGGTTGAGAAGCAGGAGCTGGCAGGGGCTCCTTCACCGGGTGGGGACCTGCCGTGCCGGCTCCATTACCCCACGAGGGTCCTGCTCCCACGCTTTGGTGGTGTCATTTATAGCCTTGGAGGCTTCGACGGCAGCAGGACGGGTCATGTCCGCTGCAGAGATGCGGGTCCGATGGTTCAGCTCCTGCCAGGGCATGGCCGGGCATCTCTACTGATGTCTTGGCATGAGAAATACCCTTGGGTGTGGAGTCCTTCGGAGAAATTGTGGCTCCGTAGTCTTCACTGACAAGCTCACGTTGGTTGTGTTGGTGTCTCGGGTATGTCTGGAGGCAGCAACAAACATGTTTCTTGGTCTGTTGGCTGTGGGAGAGCTTGGGTGGTGGTGGTTTAGGCTGGTTGTCTTAAATGGATGGGAAGAAGCAGCAAAGATCAGGCGTTGGGCAGCTCCTTCATTTCCCAAAGGGCTTGGGTGAGTGATGGGATGTGATCTCCAGCATAGGCAGCCAGGGGCAGGAGCCAGGAATATCTTCATTAAAGGAGTTACAGCATTCATGTAATTTGAGGACTAAACTCCTTGTGTCTACCCCAACCTCTGCACATGATAACCTACCTCCTGGTAGCTTCAGCAAAGGGGAGAAAACCTATGGGAAGGCACAGTGGACCGAGGCCATGAACCACCGCCTACGGAGGGATATTGAGAACAAACAATGCCCCAAAGGGGTAGGAAAAGGGGCTGATAAGTCAAGACAACTACATCCTGGCACTGAAGAAGTTGGGAAGTGCTATGGGAGCTGCCAAAAGTCACAGCGAAACAGACATCATTGAAGAACGCTCAATGGGGTGGCCAGCGGTTCCTCACCTCTGCCGATGGAAGCAAGGCAAGGCAAAGCAATGGCTGGGGAGATGTGGGCATGGATGGGTGTTTCACTCCTGCAGTTGGCCTACACAAAGACAGAGGCAACAAAAGGCCTGGATAATGGGAGTGAGGACACGGGCACGAGTGCAGTCGATGTGGAAACCAAATGCGGAGACCATCGCGCCCATCGAGCTGGCATTCAGCGTGGCTTCCCCCCTCCCCGTGCTCGGAGGGAGCTGGCACATGAAATGGCAGGTCTGGTAACAAGTATTTTTAACAACTCCACCGAGTTGGGGGAGGCACCATCTGACTGGAGAATAGCGAATGCGATGCCTATATTTAAAAGCGGGGGGAGGAGGGGAAAAAAGAAAAAAAAAAAAATAAGGCAGGCAGGAATAGGACTGTAAGCCTGACCTCGATTGCATGCCATTTCGGAACAGATTTGGAAGGCAAAAGAGGGAAAAAAAATGAATCATGGGTTTGCCAAAGGTAGGTCACGCCAGGCTAACCTGGCATCGGAGAGCCCTGGGAATGTGCAGAGCTGCTCTTTGTAGTAAAGCTCTGGGCTATGGGAAAGTGTTAATGAAGCGGAGAAGGAGAAGAAGAGGAGCTCTGCAAGGCTGGCAGGGAAGCGAGCAGCGCCGGGATGGTGTTGAGGGGACTTAGTGGCTGGTGACGACCAGTGGGACTCCTTGGGGATAAGCCATGGGCTTTCCAACTTACAGCATCGACTAGCTGCCCAGAGCTGGGGGGAAGACAGAGGCTGCCGCCCCTGGCTGGAGGAAGAGATGTGGGATGCAGTGAGAAATGGAAAGCCATGTGCTCATTGAGGAACAGCAAAGATATCTCCTAGGAGCCTGAGTCTTTCTGGTTGGGAAGTGGCGGTGTGGAGGAGGAGAAGGAGGAGGAGGAGGAGGGGATGAGCAGCAAGCACAGGGTGACCGCAGGCCAACTGTGTCCTGGAGAAGGAGGGAGGTTTGCAGGAGGGATGGCAAAGTCTTGGTGGCTTTGGGAGTGCAGAGATGGGAGTACATCCATGTGTGTATGCACACACACTGTTCTGCGTGCTGCAGTCCTGCTGCACTGGGTGCTTTGTGGTTGTACTCTCCACCACTGGCTAGAGGAGCAGTGGATGATGCGGAGCCTGTGCAATGCCATGACCCTTGTGTGTTCCAAACAATTCCCTTTGGCTGGGACCTCTGCAGTCTGGGTGCTGCAAAGGGACTGGAGCATATCTTCCAGCTCCTTGGGGAATAAAAGGGCAAATTCTGCCACATGGAGTGGCTGAGCAGTTGTGGTTGTACTCTCCACCACTGGCTAGAGGAGCAGTGGATGATGCGGAGCCTGTGCAATGCCATGACCCTTGTGTGTTCCAAACAATTCCCTTTGGCTGGGACCTCTGCAGTCTGGGTGCTGCAAAGGGACTGGAGCATATCTTCCAGCTCCTTGGGGAATAAAAGGGCAAATTCTGCCACATGGAGTGGCTGAGCAGGTACCAGATGATGGGCTGGAGCCACCACATCCTGGCTGGGCATC